TTGGATATAATTTATTTAACTACCCCTGAGGATTTACCTTATTTAGTTACAGATGGCTCCGTTGTATTATATTTTACTGTTGGCACTTGTGGGGATCGTTGGTAAACTGACACAACCTCAAAGTTTTTCTTCTCTTTTAAATTTTATTATTGAAATTAGGAGATAACCTGAAACTTTTGTGATTACCGTTATTATGTGATATTTTGTAAGTGCTTCATTTGGTTTATGAGAAATTTGAATTCCAAGGCTATAACATGGCGTACATTATACTGAAGTTTTATGGGTTTGACAATGTTTACCAGCAGCAAGGATTTATCTGAGTTTGGGCGTCAATTTGTGCTTTTCTAATTAATTTCTTATGCAAATTTATAGGTTGCTCTTGTCCCGGGTGATGCATTTGGAGATGATAGCTGCATTCGAATCTCCTATGCGGAGTCTCTCGACACTCTGCGTGCTGCTTTTGAGAGAATTAAGGGAGCACTCATTTCTCTAAAACCTAATATTACTGTTTAATTTGGTTGCAAAAATCTGTCAAGATAATAAGATGCCTGTGGTCGTAGTTTTAATTTGCAGATTTAACAGTAATGCAACTGTTGTTGTAATCTTAATTCTTTTTGATTGTGTGGAGAGGATGCTTTTACACCCCTATCATTGTAAGAGTTTGTTAAGAAATGGGGTTAAGTGTCAATTTGTGGCTTTTCAGCCAAATAATTAATGAATTTTAGGAGATCTTTCCCCAAGGATTCGTGTGAATTACAAACACATATTTCAAATTTGTTAACCCAATCTAACCATTAGACAAACATTCTTTCTATACATATGGATGTTTTTATTAAAAAATGTAGTATTAAAAATAAAATAAAATAAAAGTAGGATATTTGATTGTATAAAAATACGCATTTTTTAACACATAATAATTCATTATGGCATGATTGGTATGAGAGAATGATATGGGAATAAAATAGTTATTCCCTTATTTATTCTGTATCCCATGATCAATATGTTTATTTTAATAGGAATGACCATTCACGCAAGGGTCAACTTTGTACTCATGCAATCGTATTTATTACTAACTTTGTTGAATGAACAAGAACTGCTTGTACATATTGAAAAATGATATACAACTCACATTTATAAAATTTATGTAAGGGTCAACTTCATGCTTTGTATGTATTATAACAATACTTACAGAATATTCATACAGTACACACTCAAAATATGTTGATAATGTGACATCAAAAAAATATATTCTATCATCTTAAACATATACTTACAAAAGACATATTACTAAAATAAAAGACCCTTTACACCTAGCAAATTGAACGAAACACTGTACGAGCATGCATGCAAGTCCATGGCACACATAGACGGACATTGACTTACACTCAATTCAAGCACATGCTTACTTGTAGCCGCTGGGCATCTTACATAATTGTCATTCTCTACAAAAACTAATATGGGCATGCAAGTCCATGGCACAAGTCTTGTCGGCATCAAGAACCTCAAACTTCCATTCACTTGACTGAATGATTAATCTCCAGAAAATATTATAATTAGATGCAATTTTTTTTTTTTTCATCCTCAAGACACAACTCATTAGCAAACGGTGACACCCCTCACGCCAATCATGCATCATTGTTACAAAATAAGTTGGATAAATAGACTTCAAACCTTTCGACAAAATTTAGTATCCAATACAACTAAAATAGATACGACATTATCCACAAATGGGTACCATATGCATGCATCAATAATTCATCTGCGAGAATGACATAACTTAATATAAATAGTTGGTAGATATGACCAACAACCATTGACACATTTTTTGGGAGGATATAAAGAACAAGAGCTCAATGATTATTTAAATAAAAACCTTCGCCTCAGACGCCAGGAGATTTCACAGAGAGTGATAATCTTCGTTCGCCAGAAAAGGCGGGGTTAGGAGTCTTGGATAGATGGTCACACAAGTTTCTCTATTGGGAGTTCGTTGGAGCTAGTCGATTTCATCTTTCGCTAATGTTCGTCGGGTCTGTATTCAACGAACAGCGTCCATCTTTCACTAGAGTTCATCGTGTCCGTCTTTTGTTGGAGATCGTCACCTCCGTTTTTCGCCAGTTTGTCGCGCTCGTCTTTTGACGGAGTTCGTCACTTACGTCGTCCACTGCTGTTCGATGCGTTCATCTTTCGTTGGACAAACACCCGCATAACAGAAACTCCATAAAGGAGACACAAGCTTCATATAGGAGAATATAAGTCAGACGAAACTAAACTAACAGAATGATTAAAAAAAAAACGCATGCCTAACAATCAATAGAATAAGACCTTCCCTAAACTTAGTAGGGAGTGTATTTAATTTGTTTATATTGAGGATTGAACATGAATATGAATAGTAGATTGGCTATTTAAGTGCAAAAAGCAGCTATATATACTTATATTTCTTATGAGTATTGTTAAAAGTAAGTAATCCCTTTCATATAATTTCAAAACGTGTTGAGTCTAAATGACTGGCTCGCACGCTTCGGAAGCTTACTTGGCAACATTACATGCTTCGGTTTTTTATCTTATATCCCGTGTAAATAGGATTTTGTTTTGCTTAATATTATAATATATCTTACTTGGCATGGTTCGGCTTTTGGTTCGGATAAAAATTATTTTTACTTAATCCGATCCCCTCCAACTCCAAAATAAATAAGATTCTTATATCCCGTGTAAATAGGATTTTTTTTGCTTAATATTATAACATATATTTACCCGGGTTAAGAATCCTATACCAATATTATAATATATTTTGGATTATAATATATTTTTACTATCTATATTGCTAATATTTTTTTTTTTAATAAATACTACAATAACTATATTCATAATCTCAATTATATCCATAATCTCGATTGTCTAGAATGTCAATGTTATATTAATTTTTTAATAAATTTACCCTACATATAAAAATATAACTACACCAACTGACCAACTTGGTTTATTGTGTATAAAAAAAATTTGATTTATAATGTATAAAAATCTTGATTTATCACGGATACAAATTCAATCCTATAATTATCAAGACAATTATAAAATATTTCAAAATTATTCACAAAAATATTATCAAAGAAAGTTATCTATAAAATTAGAATGTTATAAAGAGGATGGTGAAAATTTCAAACAGGTTAATAAATTCAATTTTAACATCCATGAAAATATTTTTACCATGTTTTCAAAATATTTATACAAATATTTTTAAAATAATTTATATATAAAAAAGTAAGACTTTTTTATTGAACTGTAACAACTATTCATGAATATTTATTTGTACGAATATTGCTAGGTCGATGCAATTTTTTCATGAATAGTGTATATTTTTATTGTGCACGAATTCATATTTTTAAATATTTTATTTTGATTTTGTATTCATACAAATTATTTATTTATAATTATATTTATCTTTATAACAATAATATTTTTTAATATTAATTAGAAAAATAAAATTATTTATTAATTAATATATTTATAAACAAAATATAGTATTTTCTATTTTTGAATTTTTATACGACAACATTTGTTTTTTCTATTATTTTATATTTTATATATTTTTTTTTCAAACAACCCATGTAGTACACAGGTGTCTTACTAATAGATACTTTATTTAGAAATTAATTATTTAAATTTTCACTATTACATGGCCCGATGCACTCGCAAACAAGTGTTGTATTATTATTTCAATGTATAGATAATATGAATCCTAGTTTAACCTATATTTAAAAAAAAAAATGTATCTCATTTTGTTCACATAAATTTATACATTTTAATAAAAGTACATTATTATTTTATTTAACATGACACTCCTCACTTATTCAATTTACTTATATACTATAATAATATCCAGTTCTTAATTGATAACGTTTTTATTAATATTTAATTATATTAATATATAAATGTAATTTTTATAATAAATATAACTAAAATAATTTATTTATTTCATATATATAATATAGATATCAAATTGAAGCTCGTCAGCAGATAATTAATTTGATATATTATATATTGAAAAAATAGATTAAAATTATAAAAGTTATTAACTTTTAAAAGATATTTATAATTTAAGTTAGTTAATTATTTTATAATTTTAAATTCCAAGTCTAAATCAACATGACTATTCCGAAGCACCATAAAATGAGACATAAGATTATGAAGTACCATAAATATGGGATTATGCAGCACTAAAAATTGACAAATAGGCTCGAAAAACTTGAGGATTTTCATTTTCTATTTTCATAATTATTTATACATAAGTCGTAAAAAAAAAATGTTCTTGTCAATTGGGTTGACTTGAGTTGATATATGTGACGAATATATTTTTCATAAACAAAATTTAGTCAAATTATTATCACACCCCAAAATGATTTTATTTTATTTATTTGTTGTTCCCAATTACGTAATTACGATTGGATGCAAACTATTAATTAAGTTTTACTAGATGCAAATTATTAATTTAGTTATACTATTTAATGTATTTCAATTTAACTCTCCTTAATATTTTTAATATAACTAAATAATAAAAATTAATCATTATTATATAATTTTTAATAAAGTTTATTATTCATCTATTTTTATATTTCTATATCAACAATTTACAACCATTACCACTACTACATCGTATCAACCTTAATAATTATATTTTAACTTATATCCACTCACGACTCAAATTAAATTCAAAGATTTTTTTCTATCTTCAACTCACTTTATTTAATAAATTAAATTAATAAAAAAACTCCGTGATTCGCAATAGCTAAGTAACGCGCCGACGCCGAGCCGTGAAAAATAGTTCCATCTCGTGTGGAGTGTTCCGTCTCTTGAGCTGAGAGCTTCAAGTTCGAGTGTGGAGAGACTTTCTCCTTGTGATTTTCTCTATTACTCTGTCTTCAAATCCAGATTTTCTCTCTAAAATTTTTATTCCCCTTTGCTTTGTTTCTTTGGGTTCAGTAGCCTTTTGTTTTTCAGGGGTTTTAGGGTTTTTTTAAGGTGGTGCGTCTCTTTTTTACTTCCTTTCCTTTCGGTGGGTCTCTTGTGCTGCTTGGTTTCTTTGTTTGATTTTCAGATTTGAAAGGGTAGAGCTCTTGAGGTGTGAGGATTCCATTTCCCGTCAGTCTCAAGCTCAATGGAAGACGGTTTAATAGGAAAATTAAACCAGTTTCACTTATCAAAGGTTGAAGAGGAAGGAATTTCGCTGGAGGAAGAAGACGTTCAGAATAATTTGATATGATGAAATTGAGAAATCCTTGACTGATGCATCCTCTTCTTCCATAAATCTGCGTCCATCTCTTAAGTACTTGAGGCCCTCAGCTCCTCAAAGTATAGGTACTTTGATTTTTTTCAGTGCCTCGATTACTGTGTATTTCCAGTTTCATGCTACCTGTTTGTTGCTAATGGGTTGCCCCTTCTTTTAGTGTGTGCTTAGTTTTTTGCTTTTTCTTGAAATTTTTTCGCTGATCATGTTTGAGCGATCGGGAACATTGTGCTTTACTTCAGAACAGCAATAGGAAAATAATGCATTTGGTATCACCTTTTTTTCTGTTTAGATTTCTTGAACTGTTTGTGAAGTTAAAAGTATAATCTCTTGAAGAATTTGTCACAAATGGTTGCTGGGTCTTTGATATTGACTATTGAGGGATAAAGATTGAGGGACAATGGATGGCTATTTTTATATTTCTTGAGAGAGTTGAATCATTAGTTGAAGCTTTTGTTGCAGGATTGAAGAATTGAAGCACCTCTCCTTATGCTTCATGGTTTTGTGTCACAGAATCCTCTCCACACGAACACATTTTCCTTGTCGAGCTGTCTTCACAAACTGCTCCCTTCAATTTTCCTCCACACAACAAAAGCACATAGAATTTCAAACGAAGGATGATGCCAATATCATCATCTCAAGGGCCGTAAAAGCAAAAACCGAAACTGAAGTCTTGGAGTCGTTAGCTTGTGACCCACAATGCAGCACTATACGAATCACGGATGGCTTGCTCGGGAGATTATTCCACCGTTTTCAAGACGACTGGAAATCGGCCTTAGGCGTCTTCAGGTGGGCCCAGACTTGTCCAGACTACAAAACCCCACCATTTTTGCTCGACAAGTTGGTGGATATTTTGGGAAAGACAAAACAGATGGAGAAAATGAAGGGCCTGGTCGAGGAAATGCGCGAAACCCGTCTCGTCTCACTAAACACGATATCGAAAATGATGAGAAGATTTGCCGGCGCAGGAAAATGGACAGATGCCGTGATAACATTCAACCAGCTGGAAAGTTTTGGGCTCAATAAAAATACCGAATCCATGAACATCCTTCTAGACACTCTCTGCAAGGAGAAAAGAGTCGAGCAGGCTCGTTCGTTGTTCTTGGACCTGAGATCACACATCCCACCAAATGCAAATACTTACAACATATTTATTCACGGCTGGTGCAAAATAAATCGGGTTGAGGAAGCCGAGTGGACAGTCCAAGAAATGAGAGGAGACGGTTTCAAGCCATGTGTCATAAGCTACTCGACCATTATTCAGTTTTATTGTTTTCGGGCCAATTTCTATAGAGTTTACGAGATTCTTGACGAAATGGAAGCACAAGGGTGCTGCCCTAATATCGTCACTTTCACCACTATCATGCATTCTTTAACCAAGTTCGGAGAATTAAAACGGGCCTTGGATATAGTGGATAGAATGAAAGTAGTTGGATGTGAACCCGACACACAGTTTTACAATGCTTTGTTGCATACGCTGGGGTGGGCAGGCCGGGCCGAAGAAGCGCTTTACATTTTCACAAAAGAAATGCCTGAAAAAAAAATTAACCCAAGTACGTCAACTTATAACACGATGATTGCTATGTTTTGCCACCGCAGACAAGAGCAAAGGGCGCTACAGTTTTTGAAGAGCTTAGAGAATTCACCGTATTGTAAACCTGATGTTCAATCATTCTATCCTTTATTCAAGTTGTACTTTCAAAATGGGAAGACAGGTGAGTGCTTGGTTGACTTGTTGGATGATATGGTTAAGAAGCACCATTTGTGTCTTGATCTGGCAACTTTCATGCTTTTAATCCACGGGCTGTGCAGAGCGAATGAGTGCGAGAGGGCATACGAGCTTTTTAAGGTCATGATAGGTCAAAACATTAAACCTCGATATGTGACTTGTGCTTTGCTTTTGCATGAGGTTAAGCTGAAGAACATGTATGCTGAAGCAGAGGTGGTTGAAGACTACATGAAAAAAATGAAATCCTTGTGAGCGAAAAACAGCAGGTAACTAAATTGTTATAGCTTATGATTTCAGTTGCTGGGGTTATTGATTCTGTCATGTGATTAAGAAAAGTTTTCTCACTGGTTGCATGCTATATAAGTTGGTTTTCTCATTCATCTTTGATATATAAATTTTTCTTTGCTCCTTACATGTTTGGACTTTGGTCGTATAGATGTACTGAGAATTATTGGAAAATGTGTGTTTTGCTTTTATCTGTCGATATAATAAGTTGCTGTGGCTGTTTCAGATAGTTGTGTGTTGAAAAAGGCTGCCCTTACACTCACATATATTGGTACAACTCCTGAAGAATTACAGTTTCTATGCTTGCTGGATTGAGGAAGACTTATTGATTGTACGCTGCAATGTAAAGTCACAAAAAGCACAATACTTAGGATTGAGCCTCTCAATAATTTTTGGTGTTTGTTGTGTCATGTTGACTAACCACCACTAATGCTGACATAGATTGTTTTATCAATCAATATGAATTGAAAACACTTATCCGTAATTACATATCCATAGGTTGTGGCGCGGACTGGCCGGGATGAGTCTGTGGTTTACTGGGGGAGGTTTTGGGTCCGTTGGCCTGAGTCTAGTTAGCTGCTAGGGGAGTTTCTAGACCCAGTGTACTAGGCCATGGACCTTGTGACTTCTTCTGGGCAGATCTTGTTAGGTGTTGGCTTGGTTGTAAAGGTGTTGGGTGTTCCTGGCCGCTGGGAAGAGTTTTAGTCTAGTTTACATGGTGGTAAGTATTTAGGTTTGTGTGTGTGTGTTTCCATTCTTCCGTTTGGGAGTTAGTATTCTCTACTAGTGGAAGTTCTGTATTGTTCTTAGTTTTTTTAGTATTGTGAGTGTGTTTAAGGTTTTTTGCTTTTGGGCTACACTCGTTTCAGCTTGTAGGCCTCTCTGAATCAAGCCTTGGTTGTTTCATTCGGCTAGTTGGCGGCTTTTAAATTTGTGTTTTATTAATATATTCTNAGAAAAAAAAAAAAAAAAAGAAAAAAAAAGGAAGACATTGATAGTCAAAGCATTAAAAGTTGGATTTCTTGGTGTAAAATTATCGAGCTTGAACGTCTCTATCCCATCAATAAGTACAGTTAAACGTTAGATCCGTTTATTAGTTACTACAAGAATGCAAATAGACATAAATTATTATATATTGTGACCTAACCAAATGTTGGGTTGATTGGTCATATAATGTGAATAAAAATATGTGTTTACCCAATCATATGTCATATTTTATTTATATTATTTTTAGAATATTACACTTCTCATGAACTTGTGTACATTGATTGATAGAAATAGTACGTGGGTTTAATGGTTAGACCAACCTAATAAAAGAACTATCAATAAATGTATCATATTTTTTCATTGTTACTTTGAGTTCAAAATAACTTAATTGTATTAATAATCTGGTTAGACCAACCTAATAAAAAAACTATCAATAAATGTATCATATTTTTTCATTGTTACTTTGAGTTCAAAAGAACTTAATTGTATTAATAATCAAACATTAGTTGAACGCAACTTTATAGTATAAGTATATAGATTTAGATGATATTTAAAGTATTTTCAAGAGGAAACATTTTTTAAAATTTTTCAGCCATTTTTCATTTCACCATTTTTCAGCCATTTATTTTTATTTTTATTTTTATTTGTGTGTGTGTTCAATTTTCCCCTCTCAACAGACAACTCACGAAATGAGTTAAGGAGTATTTCACAGTTAATATAATAACTACGTGACACGTAGTTTAAGTTTGCTAACAAATGAAATGGTGAAATGAGGAAGCGACCTTACAAGTAAAGTGCGCCTTCAAATAAAAGAAAGACGAAATAAAAATAAAATCAAAAAAGATAAAAGTTATTTTGTTTAACCTCTCCACGTAAGAGTGTCAATCCCATGCAGAGTGTGAACATCGACATGCCAACCCCCCACCCCCAAGTGAGAATGTGATATGGGATACACATGCTCAACTTGAACAAGAACCACTTGAAGTCACGTCCACCTAGAGCTTTGGTAGATAGACCAACAAATTGACAAGAAGAACAAATGTGTCTTGGTCAAACAATCTCTTCTTGAACTTGTTTCAAACCACGTGACAGACTATATCATGATGCTTGGTGCGTTCATGGAAGACCAGTTAGCTGTGATATGAAGGGCAACCTTGTAATCACACCATAGGACAATAGACAGAGTAAGTGATAGAGCCAAGTCCTTTAGTAGATGACTCAGCAATTGAAGTTCACAGACGTGGTTGCCATGAACTTATACTTTGCTTTAGCTGATAAATGTGAGACGATCTTCTGCTTTTTGTTCTTCCAATAAATTAGTGTATGGCCCAAAAATATGCAAAATCCCCGGTTAGGGATTTTCAGGTGAGAATTCAACTTCCCCAATCTACATCACAAAAGGCATCAAGCTCCATGGAGGGTTGTGCATCATAGTAAAGACCTAGGGAAGGACATCTTTTATGGTATTTCACCCGATGGAGGGTTGCGACTAGTGTGCTTTTGTAGGATACTTCACAAACTGACTTAGTTGTTGAACAACAAATAAAATGTCCGGTCTAGAGAGATTTAAGAAAACTATCCTTCCAACATGTATCATGTAAGCCCCAAAATCAATAAGAGAATGTAAAGTTTGTGAAGATACATTGAGACCCTGTTAAAAAGGAGTAACTACAACATTAGAATCTTCCATTTTAAGATCAGATAATGTCCAAGATGTACTTTCTTTGGCTGAGGTAAGTCCTTTGTGAAGTCCTAAGAATTTCAAGGTCCAAGAAGTACTTCGCTTTGTCCAAATCTTTAATTGTTAACAGATTATTTAAGTAGCCTTGAGGTGTCGAATCTCTTTCAAATGGGTGTCTGTGATGAGCACATGAAGAACATAGATAAAAAAAAGTCACCAACTTTCTATCTATTTATGAAAAGACAATGATCATGGGCCGGAGTGGCATCGGTTCGGTTATCAAACCGACATGAGTATTATCGAACCAAAGTTGATTTTTTGGTAACACCAAATTCTAAAATCAAAACCAAACCAATTTTTAGGCGGTTACCAATTTTTTGGTAACTGAAAAATTGGTTTGGTTTCGATAATTTATCAAAAAAGTCGGTTTGGTTTCGGTAGTTTCAGTAAAAGGCTTATCGTCTTTAAGCACTTTTCTTACTACACCATCCTGGCTGTATTTGAAACATTGATGCCAAGTAGAAAGCACAGCTCCATTCTCATGCAACCAAGGACGTCCCATCAACATATTATAAGAGGTTTTGGCATCTATCACATGGAAAAGAGAATCTGAAGTCATGTCACTGATTACTAACTTCAATCTATTAATGCCAAGAGCTCGTTGCCCCCCATGTTAAAGCCTTGAATCATCAACCGACTAGTTTAGAGTTCATCCATCGGAATTTCTAGTTCTTTTAGAGCACGCAGAGGCAACTGTAGAACCTCCATCTATCATTATGCGGTTCACCCTTCTTTCACGAGTGTAACTAGTTACGAATAGAAGCCTATTATGGGGTTTTAGGCCCAACAAAAAGTCTTCATCTGCGAAGATGGCTTCTGCATCGTTGTCTTCATGGTCACATCATTTTTTTTCATTAGTTGATTCCTCATCATCTTGCTCGCTTGTGACATTACACGCGAAACTTTCATATCCTTCCTTGCAGCAAACAACTGAAGCAAAATTCGCAATCCCTTTCCTTGTCATGTTAGCTTCATCACTTTATCTTTGAAGACAAAGCAATCTTGGATGGATTGACTCAGCAAACGACGATTCTTGCAGTATTTTGGATTGTCAAGTTGTTCTTCTTCTTCAGGTCATTTCATCTCCTGCAATTCAATAAGTTCTTCTCGAATCAAATTGTAAAAAATCCAGAAACATCAGAGTCAAGAAATGGATATTTTTTGCATCTTCTTCAAGGTTAATTTTCTTTGCTCACTGTCTTGAGGAACTTCTTTTCTTTACGACAACCTTATCACTTGTGTTTCCTTTGAGTTTGATGAGTCTTGCTTTGACGGTCATTGCTCCTTTTACCTATTTGTTAGGTGCTCTAGAGGAGAACTTGTCCCCTTTTTTTAGCTTCGTTTCGATCATTGAATCTTTGAGTCTCATGGACATGTGGATTCTTGACCCCACTTGTGGACGTGCTTAACTCTATATCATGTGCACGAGTAACCAGCTCTTTAAATGACTTTGGCTAAATTCCTTGTAGAATGTATCGAAGCCCCCAATGCACCCCTTGAGTACACATTTCAATAGCCGAAGCTTCAAACAGTCAATCCTTGCAAGTGAGACTTAAATTTCTCAATTGATTGATGCAGTCAATAACAGGTTTTTCATCCCATTGCTTTGTATGAATGAATCATGCTGACTATCCTTCATGTTCTATAGAAGCAATTTAGAAACTCTTTCTCTAGTTGCTCCCAACTATCAATAGATTTTGCTTCCAAGTCAGTGTACCACTCGAATGCATTTTCCTTAAATAATCGAACAAATTGCTTCACCAGATGATCTCCATATGTTCCAGCATCGCTGCAAGTCTCAATGAGATGAGATATGTGCTGTTTCGGGCTGCATTTTTTTTTTTAAAAAAAATAAAAATAAAAATATAAAAAAATGAAGCCCAAAACAACAAACTAGTGGAATTTTCGTGGTTGATATCCAGTAGACATCTGCAAGCTATCAATCCTTTGGGAGTATGGCTTCGAATAAGTCAAGGATGACTTGGAGCCTCCATCGCATTTGTCCTTGATGATTCCTATGATGAATTCTTTGAGTTGGTCAACTGGTCTGAGTCCACTTGAAGAAACATGAAATTATGACGAAGTCTTCTTTTTTTCAGCTTGTTTCATCTCATCTTCTTTAGAAGTTTCTTTATCATCATGTGTTTCATCTTGCTTGCCCCCGACACGGCTAGTCTCGGCTTTGTCAACCTTTTCTAGCATCTTTGAGATTATCGAGTCCTGATCTTGGACATGTTTCATCAGTCCCTCCATTGTTTTCGCCATGGTTGCAAGTTGCTCTTCAATGATTGATGCATTTATCATCATAACAAGTGTCTCCATTGAGAAAGGTGTTGATGAAATATTTTCTATTAAATCTTCGTCTTGTTTTATATTAATCAGAGGCGGCATAGTGTCCTTAACTTGGTGAGGGTTTACTTCAAGAGATACACTCTTCTTTTAGTCATGCGTCTTGTTATGAAACCGATGCTTTCTCTTGCAGAACTTGAAGAAGTTGAACTGAAAGGAGCCATCGTTGCACTTTGATATCTTGAAGAAAAGAGATGAGAGGTAGAGATAGTCTCACTAAGCGTGTCAGAAATTTGTAACGCAAACTTCGTATTTTTGGATTAATAAACATGAGAAATTCATACCAATTAATTTTCAACGGATCAACTTAAGTATAGTGGATTACAAATCTTTATTATTCTTTTGATTAATTTCTTTAAGAACAATCTTCAAATGAATTTGAGACTTTTGGAGACGAATCTTCAGTTTCATCTCCGTCGGTCTTGATTTTAAATTTAAATAACATTTCTTCAAGGGCTTGACAGCTGGATCTCGAATCTAACACCCTAATTTCTCAAGACGTGAAGAACACGAGTCCTTGGTCTTCGCCGCAAAGTCGATCTTGGATCTTCTCTATGCGGTCTGGACTTTAATAACATAATTCGGAGGTTTGGTAGCTTGTTTTCGGATTGAACATCATTGTTGAGCTTGAACGCGCTTGAATCTTGCTTTGAATATTCAAGAACACTTGATCTCGTCGAGAGAATTCTCTAGAGCTCTTGAACTTGAATATGTATTGTGTTTTTTACCTTAGGGAGAGCACTTATTTATAGGTATTGGGAGAGAGAGTCTTGGAATAAAAGACTATAATTTGATTAGTCCTTAATTTCTAATATTTATATCCTTAATATTTAAAGAGATAATTAGGAGAGAGAGTCTTGAAAAATAAGAATTCAATTTGATTGGTCCATGAACTTCCAATATCTATTTTCTTAATAATAATTATTATAAAAAATAATTATGTATTTTATCATCCAAGAAAATGACATATGACATTCTTTAATTGGCTTTTAAAATATACATGTGAAATTTTTTAATTGGTCAATAAATAAGCAATTAATTAGCTATTTAATTTTGGAATTAAAATATATTTATAAATATAATTGCTGGCAGGGCAATTAATAAAAATCAGCTAGCATTTAATAAAAATACTTTTGGTTTCCCTTAAAAAAATTACATCGCATTTTATTTATTTTTTATCTTTTAATATTATCCAGTAATCAGACATCTATTTTTGCCTAATTTTGTGGTATGTAACAAGTGCATTAGGATTGCCATTTTTTATTTCTCTAATTTGTTTAAAAATCTATCACACCCACGTTATGTTTTCAAAATTTGGTTGTAACGTAATTGTTGGTGATAGGTTAAAAAATGTGCACGTTTTATATATTTAATAATGTATTTTTATACACTTAATTTATTTGCACGTTTATATTTTTCGACTTATTTATTATTTGGCGGAATTCATGTACTTTGATATTCTTATAATCTATTTTCAGCAATTTGAAGAATATTTGGAGGCGTCAATGGATAGGAGGTACTTAAGTTTGAGCATGAAGACCCAAAAGTGCAAGGAATTAATTCATTACTCACGCAGTCCATCTACAAATTCCTACACACACATCTTTGGGCCATGGAAAATGGTTTTATTTGGGCCCATTTTGAAATGAATTTAGAAGACTTAATTTGAAAGGGCTTGGAGGATTTAAATTGCTAAGAGTAAATTATTCGCTAGCCACGAGGAGTTACACGCATAGGAAATATTTGGAGGAGTTTTGATTAGCTGGGGCACTTGAATTAATTTTTTAGGAGCAACAATACTTATTTCAGGGAGGAATTATTTTTAGGGGAGGACTCACGCAGACAGAGGGCAGTAGCCGCGGACAGAAAAGAAGACACGCACAGACAGAAAGAAAATACGCGGAGGGAAGCCGCACTCGCACACGAGGGAGATTTTATTTTCTCTCTTTTATTTTTTATTATTTATTATATTAGTATGTTAAGTTAGACTTTTATCCAGTTTTAGGGGATGTTTGAACCCTAACTTCAATTTGTCTATGGATTGAAGGATTTATTTTTATCGTTCGTTAATTAAGACACCGTATTTGTTTTTGTTGATGAGTTGATTCATGCTATCTGTGTTTAATGTATATGAATTATGAGTATTTGATTTGGTTTGGCCAGCTATGTTGAGTAGTTTAATTGCTAGATTTGGGACTTTAATCCGTAATTGTTATTGTCTCGTTTCATTAGTAGTAAACTAGGGGTCGTGCATCTCTAGGGTAGCGTGAGCATAAGTTAAATGGTCCGAGCTTTTGCGTCCATTTCTTAGACAGATCTATTTTCTTAGAGATTAATGCTGCTAGTGAATTAAATCTAGAGAGCTTATTCTAGGTTGTCCACTAGTTATGTTTAGTCGAAGAGCCTATTTCGATTAAATATTCTGTAAGGGAAAATTCGGTTAACAGAGCTTGTTGTTAGCTAGGGTCGGTAATTTGTTAGCAATTTAAAGAATGTGTCGAAATTAATTAACGGTAGATTTGGATTGGGTGATAACTGAACCGAAAACTGGATTTCTCTCATTTTATTTGATTTGATTTTATTTTATTTCGTTATTTTTATTTTTATAAAACCAATCCCTCCTCTTTAGTGCTTTCTTAGTTTTAATTCGATTAATACGAAAATAATCACAATTTAATTCCTGCTCCTCGTGGGATTGACCCTTACTCGCCGCTACTACTAGTTAGTAGAGGTTAGTCGAGGAAAACTTTTATAAATTTAAATTTTCCGCGTCGCGACACGCGGTCAGTTGCATAGTGACGAGATAATGTTTAAACCGTTAAGTTTGAATGATTACGAATTTTTAATTTGTATGCTAATTAGTCACATGTAAAAGAAGTAATAATTATATCGATACAATCCAAAATATTAAAAAAAAATATATCTTTAGAATACAGATCCTTACACCAGTTCCTTCAAATTATTCCTGCAAAATTGTAAATTAATAGTTGATTTTACTGAAAAAAATTGGATTTTCATATTGTAAATGAATATTAGTACTAAAACTATGATGATTGTATAAACACAAATTTATACTAAAAATTTGATATTTACACCATTAGCTTATACACAAATCATGCTCCGTTAACCCTTATACATCAGCTCATAAACATTATTTGATAGATTTTTAATAATAAACAAAATGAAACTTTTTTTAAATGTAATGGTTACATATTATAATGGAATCTAAAATTAGATAATGTGTGATCATCTACAAATATAAGACAAATTAACATAGATATCTTATTTTAATAAAATTAATAGCTAAACATCTGCCCATTATATATGGTGCGACTGTGTCGTTCTGAGACTGACTCGGAATATGAGGCCTCGAAGCCTTAGTGGGGGTGATGAGTACGATGAGTTGAGGAACTTCTCGGAGTGGCTTGCAAGCATTGGCGACGGTACAATCGGTGGATCGAACGACGGTTGTGCCGATATCGATATTCCCGACGATATTCTTTTAAAATCACAAGAGGATCCTACTGCTACTATTGTTGAGAGTACTTACCCGATTTTCAGGAGTTTAGACAACGATCTTAGCTATCTAAAGGACAGGGCCATACTCGTTCCCGCAGTTGATGCCGTTGAGTCCGTTACGAGTACATGAGTTATTTGAACTCATCCAAGGGAAGCACTTATTTGAGTTTGGACAACCCTTGCAAGTCAGACATTGGATATGACTTTCTTCAAGATCTTCATACTCCTGAATTTCTCAATGGGATTAAGTGCTCGGGACTTTCGAATCATAAATTGCACTTGAAAGTCGGCACTCCAACGATGCTATTTAGAAACATTGATCAATCCATGGGGTTGCGCAACGGTACGCATTTGGTTATTACTAAGCTCCGCATCCATGTCCTCGAATGCATAATTTAACCGGTGTCAGAGCTGGTTGTTGTAGTTCTTTTTACCGGAGTTAAATCAAAAGATTCGAACACCGGGTCGTGTCTCAAGGAAGGTTAGCCGGATTATTTTGTACGATTATTCAAGCACAGAAATGGAAAATAAAAGAAGTGAAAATCCTAAACATTCTAAATCAAGTTTGGAGATTTGATTATCGTCTACTAATTTGAAAAGCAAGTGATTGAACAGGGCAAGCAAACTAGGAATCACAAATTTAATATATAAAGAAGGAGCTAGGGTATCGGGGTCGATCAATTCCGGTTCTCAATACACTTAACGAGCAATCAAGAGCTCGGTTGAACGTTTCGCTAAACTACTCATCTAGAGGTCTATCCTCAATAACTCTTCGTAACAAGAGGATAGACATAAATAAGCAATTCTTGAAGCAATCAACACATAAGCTATACTATTACGAACAAGCTTATTCCTAACGAGCCTAGATCGAACGATTTCTCCCTTTTCAGTTTAAAAATCGATTAGATAGATCAAGATGGTGATCAATCATCAAAACCCTAAATTAAGCACTACTCGAGAGGATTGAGCAATTATCATGCATATAAATAAAATCAAACCGGAACGATCTTCCCTTAACCCTAGCTAAAGGATTTAGCTACTCATAATGCATTCAACTCCAACACATATAATAATCAAAGCCATTCAATCAATAAGAAGATGAAACGAAAACTTACGATTGAATAATCCAATGTTGAATACACGAATAACTGAATCCACAAGCTTAATCTTGGTGTTTTCACAATCCTAGATCAAATCCTATGAAGAACTAAGAGAAAAACTGTTTTGGAGTGAATAATAATGAGAGAAAGTCTAAACCTAGGTGAAAGTGGATGAAAAACTGATCAAAAAAACGAAACTTAAAAATCTGCTGTCGCGACCTCCGCGGCCGCGACTTAGACCTCCGCGGCCGCGGCGAACAACATCTCGCGGCCGCGACTTCCTCCGCGGCCGCGACCTCCGCGAGCCAGAAACTGGGATTTACGTGCATCTCGCGGCCGCGACTTCCTCTTCTCCGCGGCCGCGGCGAACAATTTCTGAATGTTGGTTTTTGGATTCGTTTTCTCTCATCCGGACTCGGAATTTGACCCCGTCTTCTCCAACACGCCCCCAACTCATCCATCTAGACAGTAGACCTCGCATATCCATGCAACGAGCCACCAAACCTGCACATCACCACCGACAAGAAATACGGAAAACGGGAAAAACGAACAAAAAGACCAAAATCGACTAAAACAACGGATATGCGCGAGACGACTCGAAACGGACCAAAAACCAAAGAAAAATACCTAAGTAGGGGAAAAACAAGCATGAAATAAACAA